TGTGTCTCGGTGGGGGTAACACTGTGTTAAGAATTTGCCTACAAATACTCAAACTTTCACTCTCTACGCCACTGGGCATCCATACACAGGTAGAAGATGAATAATCAAGTAATAAACTAGAGTCTTCATCTTTTCACTAGTGAAGTAGGTCTGTTAAGTAAAGAAGGCGTCTAAATAGGCGACAGAATGGGCTCAGTGACAGCAGATGTGAGGTACGTTTTCACAAGTGACCCAAACATGCAAAAGTTTTAGCCGTTTTTGACGATGGATTCCTTATCTATGTATCTCTATGCCATCTTCTGCCTCAAAATTTCTAAAATTAATTTAACGTGTTCTTTTGCCGGGCTCCTTTACTCATCTTTGGGCCATTAAACGGATTGCTAATGTGCCTCAAGAAGTACTCCAACTTCTATCATATCCTCTCGTTTTCCAAGATCACATTAACTAGTCCTAACCGCTTCGAATATGTGACATACACCTTTCATTGCATAACTATTCGACACGAAACGCTAATGCTTATCCGCTTTCCCGCTAGCACAAATGCATTCGCGTTTTGCTGCAAAGCAGCCAAATCAAATTAGTGTCTCACTTCTAGCAGTCCATTACAGAGAAGGACACAACTCTCAAGAAAGTATGAACCCTTGATTTAGTTTCCTTAAGCAAAGCCTTTTACTGCGACCAGTAAAAGATCTTTTCTTTTATGGACTTGATCCCTACTCTTAAATATGCTCCTTCTTGTTGGCCTTACCAATATGATATGCCACTCAGCCTTAAGATGTAATTACTTTATTTCCACTTTCAGTTCGGTGAGGAAAGTAGGCTTGACTCGCACAAAACCTTCTCACAGCGACCTAGCTGCCATTGTTCACCTCCGACTCCACTCATCTGAACTCATCTAAACAATGCTGTTTACTGATGCTTTTTTGCACACAACATAGCCATTACACTGCGGGCAATTTTCTAGGAACACAACGCAGGCGCAATATTCTATGTAATGTTGACAGGGCCTTGGAGAGCAACTTCCAATGACTTTCGATGCAATTAATTGAGCATATTATCACTTAAGTCAGCTTTGGACACCTATCACTTTCCCATTAATGGTAATAGTTGTAGCTAATGACCAAACCTGCGGCAAAAAGTGTCATCACTCTTCACGAGAGACTATCTGGCAAGTACTGTGCCAGTAATTATAAATGTGCGCTTGCGATGCTAATGACTCTACATATCTTTGGTAGAAAAAAATTTTAAATCAAATGGGCAGAGAGTTCGCAGTGCACATTTGTAGATATGACGCTAGGTCTCGAAATCAAACTCGATAGCTAGCCCAGCGGAGCGCAACTATCATGCCATTCCTTCTGACCGATGTCCAAGTGATGCTTTAGTTGAAGGAATGCGAAGGAAAAAGGTAAGCCATCACGTTAATCCTTTGTCTTAAGCTGTCTAAAGAAGGCTCTTCATGCAGTGGGAATTAGTCCGACCACTAGTAAAACGTCACAAACTAAAAAATAGACAGGCTTGCTTGCGTGCCGTAGGGTTTTACTGTTGACAGAAGACAGGGAACGTTCCCTCGGTTGTTTGAGCAGTTGGCCAGAGGAAGAGGGAGGGACTGTAATATCGATCGGGGGAGAAATGATGTTGTCGACACCGCCAACAACGCTTTCCTTCTTCCTGCACCCGCGTTGCTGACACGGTGTATAGATAACGGGAAAGGCACTGCCATCGATATTGAAGCGATCACCATTTGGTGCCGGCTTATGAGGAGTAAACGCCAAGACACGAAGTAACGCGTTCTCCTTCTCCTCTTCTACTACCAACCTTTTCGACGCGGAAGCCGAGATCCGCACTTCCGGTCGCTATCCTTCGAATGACTCCTCTGTTGAAGAGAGGCTTAAACGGCGTAACCCCCACCGCATTTCGCGATCACTTTTCAAGGGCTTCGATAGCCTCCCAAGAACACTCACGTACCGGTTCAGAATGCTAATAATCTCCATCCTTTGATGCGAGCACTGCTTTGTCCATAACATAGTCGTTAAGATGGTCTAAACTCAATTTCCAGCGCATCAGATGAGCCAACTGCCCACGGTTTCTTTACGCCCCACACTAGTGTGCACTTCTAACTGACGAACGAATTGTGATGGCGGTAGGTGAGCTCATGTTGTCAAACTGCCAACACTGTCGGGCACTTGAGTGGTATTGCGAAGGTCGCCTTGGCAACCCAGCTCCGAACACGATTGACAAGGTCATACATCGAACCAGAGTAGCAAAAATAAGTTTGGACCTAGCCTTTCACAAAAGTTACATCTTAGCCGAATTAGTTGTTTCTATAAATTAGACGCATCTACGATAGGATAGATAAAAACACCACTTCTTGTGTTAACGGTTTTGCATATAAGGTGAGACAAAATCAGATGGATGAAAGGTGAAGAGCACAATTTACTTTTTCGCCTACGAGGGAAACAGAAAGGTCGTAGAGGGCGGAAAATTTGTTGGACATACACACTCGCCGACGCCGTTCCATATTCTGTTTTTTTGGCTTAGGGAAATGAAGAGGTAGAGGGGTGTTAGGACTAGCCGGTCCGTGGGTGACGCTCAATGTTTTGAGGCGGGTGGGGTAGAGAAGGTAGAGGAAGGGGAGTGAAGGATTAATGAGCTCATGGGAGAATGACACGGCATATGGACTCACAAAGGGTAGCAGGAAACAAGGTAGTTCAAGCCAAAGAAAGGTAGT